CTGCCAGCTCCACTGAGAAAAATTGTCTTCTTAAGATCAAAGAGGTGACACTGCCCTGGCTGGCTGGTGGCACAGCAGGGATCTCAGGGAAGAGAGGAGGGGGGATGCTCACAGGGTGGGAGGCAGAGGCACCCACAGAACCTCCAAAAGGCTCAGCTGCTGGCCTGGGTGGGAGTGCAGAAGTGCAGGGGAAAGAGCATTCAGAGACTCTCAACAAACCCTCTTCCAGCTCTCACAGCTCCTGCTAAAATTAGTCAGAGGCGTGTAGAGCACCTCTAAGAGAAAAAAAAAAAGGCTTTTCCTTTTCTTGGTAAGGTCACCAAAGGGATCTCTGTCATGCAAAGGCAGCACAAAGCTTCTGCACTGTGCTCTCCTCAGTGCAGCGGCTCAGCCTTCCCCCAAAACCTCCAACACTGCCTCCAAGGCCTGAACACTCCAACAAAGATATCTTCCCTCCTTTGTCTGCTCTGATTTTTCAAATGCCACTTCAGATTCCTGTTTCATCAAATGCAAATAACATGAATATGGCTTTTTCTCCCCCTGAAGAATATAATTTGCAGGAAAGCATTTTCACAGCAACCCCAATTTAATCTCCTTTTTTTCCCCCCATGATTATACAAACTGATCTCCAGTCTCATCTGCTCAACTGTCACATCCTCCCATCCCACTGCTGCTCTAATTGCACACTGCTGAGCCCCCTCGATTGTTCTGGTACCTCTTGGTAATGGCAGGAATTCTCCCCTCTGCAAAGTGGCATCACAGCCTTTCATTTCTGCTTTTGATTCTTCTGTAAAAACGAGGTGAGGAAAGCACTGACTTATTTCTGAGATGCTGATGTTGCACCACAATCTCTTACTCAGTCTCCCCTCACTCCAGTGGATTCTTTGTTTGGTATTTTTAACTCTAAACTTTCCAAGCAGCCACCTCCTGTTAGGTATTTGTTCCAGCTGTCAGTCCTACTTTGGAGCTACATCTTTACCACCTTGCTGAGGATAACAAGATGTTCTTACCCTTTCTGAACACCAGGCAGTCTTGACCCCCACCTAATGCCTGTTCTTTGGCTCTTTGATTCACCTCAGCTTAGAAATATATCAGGAAAAGACTCAGCCTCCTTAAAACCACAAACAAAAATTACACAAAAAGCCTGGGTTCCAACTGCTGCAGGACACGAGATACACTCCTCACCTGCAAGTGGAGCTGGCTCTGCACAGGGGCACACATTTGTTTAGAGCTTGGCTGGCTTGGGGTACTTTGAAGGATCAGGGGTTTATTCAGTTTTTCTTTCCCACTGCACCTCTCTCTGTGGCATTGCATCAAATGTTTTAAACTGAACTACTGCATGCCACAGCCACCACACTGCTCTTACCCAGCAGGACAGACACGCTGACAGGGACACCACTGCCTCTCCTGAGTATCAGACAGTAAATGCACTTTCCCTCTGCTCCCAGTGAGAGCAGGTACAGTGCCATAACTCAATACACTTATGCAGGCCTCAAAAGAGAAGGAGCCTCATCAAATGATGCTTTATCTGACCTAGAGGCCCTCCCTGGGCACTCTTGCAGCCCTGCTGCTGGACCAGGGCACGGCAGCATGTGTCACCACCTTGGCTGATCCCATTCCCAGTCTTCCATCCCAGCTTAAAGTCTCCCCTAATGCCCTAAAGACATAAGATGTGCAGCTTTCTGCTGCTGTACCTCAGTAGCTGTTCCCTCAATATTTAATCTTGTAAGCTGTTAATGCACGGATCTGTGCTAAGCGGCAGAGTTCAGCTTTTTCTGCGCTCAGAATTTGCTTCCTTCTTGTTTGAACGTGGCAAAGGCCATTCATTTACTTCTCAGACCTCAACTCAAGCCAAAATTCATTCCATTTTGACCCAGTGAGAGCCCAGGTGGTTTTCTTCCTTTCCCTTAAACGTCCAACAGAAATTTTTGGCCGGTCGGCCTTTCCGCGTTTCTTTTCATTTTTATTTATTCACTGCAGCCTTAGTCGGATTTTTTCCCCCTAAACAAAAACAAATAAAAGCCCGGAGGCAGCGCAGCCTGGTCTCCGGAGATGCCGGCAGCTGCCCCGGCCGCCTCCGTGCCAGCGCCGTGCCAGCTGCGGTGCGGGGCACGCGGCCACCGCAGCACACGGCAGGAGCTGCCAGCCCGCACCTCCCCTGGCCTGCCTGCTGGGCCCTTCCAGCCAGGAACTGCTCCCTGTGCCCTCCCAGAGATGGGACACTCTGCTGCTGACCAGAGAAGGATTTCGGTGCGTGACTGGGATGTTCACAGGCAGCCTAGAGGGAATTCGTATGGCTCCGTGGCCATGGAGCATCCCAACCCCAGCTTTCTGGGACTAGACCGAGCAGTGCAAAGCCAAAGCTCTGTTGGACACAAATCTCACACGGCCCCTTGGGCTCTTAGCTCTACCTATTCCAGGAAGCCTTTTTCAGGGATATTCTTCAAGACAGAAGTAATTTAAACTCCCAAACGCAAGTCATCCTACAGGATCTATTTTCTGAGCAGTGTGGGAAGGTAGCGGCCTGCACAACCATTTATTAGCACAAATAGGAGTGTATGTTTAACTCTGTGGAACGGGTAGAACAAAGGATTATTAAATAAAATTCTGATTAGTTCAGCTGAAAGCAAAATACCAGCTGGAGCCTGGTGTAGCACAGGCATGTTATCAGCAAACATGGGCTGCCAGCGCATCTGCACACACACACACCCCCCAGCTCTGACCATGGGGAGCCTCAGCCTGGAACAGCAGAGCCACAGCACTTCCATCATGTTCTGTGCTCTGAGAGCTCCAGTCCTGCCCTGAGCTTTTGGCCCTACAGGGCTGCACAATGGGAATGAGAGTGATGAAACCTGAGTTTTCCCACTTACCCTCCTACCAGCAGCCATGCTTTGTTAGCGTTCCAAGTGGGAACACAACCACTCAGCACAGCTATCACAGAGTCCCACCGCCTGGAATCACATGTGGGGCACATGGCTCTCCCTCCCACCAGCCTGCCTAACTGCAGCCATATTCATTAACAGCCCTTCGTTCAGATCCTGGTGCAAAAGTCAACAAAGCCACTTTGCGAGAGGGCAGCCTCCCCAGCACAAGATAAATAATGGATATAAAAGCAGGCTGGGAGGGAACTGGTGCATCCCTGCAAGGTCATGCTGGAATGCATCAGTGGCTCACTGAGGCTGGGCTTCTCTGGTAAGAAGCCTGGAGCTATTTATGACTCATGTAATTAATTAATGCCAACGGGCGTTCTGCTGCAGGCACGTGGGAGACCAAAGGGAAATACGAAGCGGGCAGGTTAGGAAATGTAGTGGAGGTGGGAGAGAAGGATGACATTTCTTGTGGCAAGACATGCTTTGAAGTAATTACCAGCAGTCCAAACAGCCAGCAGCTCTTTTGGCTACGTCAGTACAAAATCAATTAGGGGCTTTAAAAATGCATCGGGCTCATATTTCCAAGAGCATCAAGAATTAGAAGTAGCCTCAGAAGGAGAGCAGTTGCATTTCCAAGCACCGTGCACCGTAAGACCCTCCCCCAGATCCTCAGACCCCACAAACGCTGTGACCAGCAGAGGGAGCATCGTTAATACCATCCCAATCACAAACGGTTTGGGATGAGAGCACGGAGGAAGACCCACAGCTTGATTTTATGTCTCTCTAAAGCCTGAGGAGAAGTTCAACAGAAGCAGGAGAAAGGAGTGAAGGTGAACATGGAGAAAGCAGACTCTTGCAGGCACTCAGGGCTCCTGACATACATCTCCCCCTCCCAGAGCCAGCTCTCCCAACACTGGGAGCTATCCAAAACTGCAGATCACATCAAGAAAGGGACCAGGGCTGTGGCTTCCCTGCTCCAGCTTGCAATACTGCAGTCTCACACTGCACACTCAACATGTGGTGACGCTGAGTCATGACACCACGCTCGCACAGACCGTTTGAGGACAATGAGAGCTTAACCTAATTTTGTCCCTTTGTTTGTCCTCTGCACGCAGATCAATCAGTTCCACTCCCTGCCTTCACATCCCCCTGCATCCAGTGCCTGATACATTATTAAGACTGTAAATACAAATAAAGCTCACTCTTCCCCTCCTCTGGGAGGGCTCTAAAGTCCTTCTGGCTTGTCCAGCTCCCACCCAGCCTGCATCCTCTCTCGTGTATCTTCATTGCCAGAATATCTTCTTACCCTTCCCAAATGTATCCATGCATTGTCCTCGCTCCCTCTTATCAGAACTGCCTGCAACAAATCCTCTCACACAATGAGGATTGCAAATTTGCTTACAAGCTGGTGCTGTTTTCCATTTCTGCTCCTCTGTGCATCTCCTTTCTCTCTAGACACTTGCAGGGGTCAAGCAGCACAGCATCAGTCTGCCACAGCCATCTGGATAAGCAGCAGAGGCTGCCTGCAGTCCCAACCCTGGTTGGCAAAGCCTGGGAGTCTGCAGCATGCTCCCCTTTGAACCTTTCCCAACCTCCACAGTCTGGGGGATCGTGTTTTCTAACCTCTGATCACTGCCAAAGCCCTCAGATCCTGGTGGGACTCCCTATCACTACCCAGTATTTTTCTGGAGCAAATCAATAGCAGAGATTAAAACCAAAAAGAAAAGAGTAAGTGAAATGAGAGTGGGGTTTAGTTTCATAAATATATATGAGTAGAACAAGAGCAACGAAGTGCTTCTTTCTGGTGGGCTGAGAATCAACTCGAGCCTGAGTCTCCAGGGTAAAACAGGAGTGAAGTAAACGACAACACGAACACCCACTTAGCATTCGTGCTTCATATCCCTGCTCTGAGCCTCAGCAGCTTTAGGAATGCTCCTGTTAAATACTGTAATGCTCCCAATTACGAGTGATCCGGACTGTTTATTTTCTAAACAGATTCCCCACTCCCCCCCCAAGCCCCAGGAGATCCCATAAGCCTAAGACAAAAGCAGTCTAGAAGAAGTGTTTAGACCTCTTTTGGCTATACAATATCCATAGCTGGCTCCATTTCCCTGATTGTTTCATACTGACCTTGAGGATATTTTGGCCATTAAATGACTCCCGCTCCTTGAAAGATGATTTACCAGTCATTGTGTTGTTTCGTTCTTCAGCTGTAAAGAGAAAAGCCACCACCAGAATGAGCTTCAGATGGCAGAACTCTGTGTGCTGTACTTCACCCCCCACTCTGTCCCTCCCCAAAGTCAGCTGCCAGCTAATAAACCATCTTTGCCCAGTTCTCAGTGCAAAAATCCCCCACTTCCACTTGGATTTAAGGAGGAAAAGGGCTGGAACTGGTGCCTCTATCGGGATCACCTCTGTTACCTGGAGGAAAGGCCCTAAATCACAGCTACTGCTGTGGTGATTCTGTAGGGCTGACTGCTCAGTGCAACACACCTGCTTCTCTCTGGCTCATTTTCATCCCTCATCCTGCCATGTCAGGGTGCGAGACAGCACTTGCATGGCCTGGAACAGCACCAGATTCCAGGCTGAGCACGCCAGCACAACGGCAGGCGGGATGCGCAGGGCCCCGACACAAACCTCTGCTGTGTGCTGTGGGTGCTTCTGTGGGGTGGGCACGCAGCCACACACACACACACACATTCAGAATAGCAACCTAGGCCACAGCAGCTGCCAAAAGCCTGTGTCTGAGATCCATTTCCCCAGAGCACGGCTGGGTTTTTATATAATCCCCAAGTACAGGATCTGTTCCTTCCACAGGACCTCTGCCTCACCCGGGGAATATATTCAGTATTTCTTTTTCATCTCCATCATTAACTATGAAGTCCCCCTCACATCCAGCTTGCTGTTCAAATCCTGTATGGAATACAAAGAGACTCCTATGGCTGCCTGCGGAATGCTGGCGGAACGCTCTCCCCATTGTGTCTGAATGCCTCTCATGCCTCATGGGGTTGTGCAGAATATAGACTCAGGATGCCAGACCTAGCTGCCCATGTGCCTCCCCTCACACAGAGCCACATCAGCAATCTGGGATCACATTTTCAGGGCTCAGTTTGAGAGCCCCATCTTTACAGGGTTTCTACGCCCTGGGTGTGCTTGTTTGACTTCAGCAGCTGTCAGAGCCAAAACCTGCCCAGAAGACAATGACAGAAATCACCTGCTGTTATCACTGTCCCTGCAGAGATTCAGAGAGGCAACAACTACAGAATTCCTGACACAGCCTATTGCAGTGCACAGGGGCCACCGTGGCAGAGCACGCACGTTTGCACATGGAGAACCTGGCTGGAACCCACTGCCCCTCCCCAAGGATGATGCTTTTAGGGCTGCTTTATAAAGTAATGTGATCAGAACCATGCTACAGACAGCCAGAGCAGACAATCTTTTGGCAGAGACAGCAGACGCCATACACTCAAGAATAGCTCACATTCAGCTTTGCATCACATTCATCTGTCTGCAGCTGATTTAAGGAGAAAGACAATGGAATCACTTTCCTAAAGAAATGGGCAGTCTCTAAGTTAAGCAAAGAGGATTATGTTTTCATCTTGTTTGAAGGTCAGCACAACACATGGAATTGTTATGCAATTTCAATTTAACACCGGGACACAGAGAACTCAAGATCTCACCTCCAGGAGGAGGGGCTGAGGTCACTTGCTCTGTTCAGCCTGAAGGAGACTGAGGGGAGACCTCATCAGGGTCTGCAGCTTCCTCACAGAGAGCAGTGCAGGAGCAGCTCTGATCTCTGTGACCAGGGACAGGACCCAGGGGCACTGCTGGAGCTGTGCCAGGGAGGTTGAGTATTGGGAAAAGGCTCTTTGCCTAGAGGGAACACTGAACAGGCTCCCAAGCAAATGGTCAGAGCTCCAAGGCTGCCAGAGCTCCTGGGGTGTTTGGACAATGCTCTCATCAGGCACAGGGTGGGATTGTCCTGGGCAGGGCCAGGAGCTGGGCTGGATGATCCTTGTGGGTGCCTTCCCACTCAGGACATTCTATGATTCTACTTGAAGGTATTTTTCCCTAGCCCAGATACTACAAGTGCTACAGGGTGCCAAGGTTTTGAATCTATGACTCTTGTTCATTGCTTTATTTTCTTCTGGGTTTTATCTGCAGACATCTCACCCCCCGGCCCTGTAGACAAGAAAAACCACACTGAAAAAAACAAAAACCAAAAGCATCTGCTGGGCAAGAGGACTACTTTAAATGCATTTAGCAGCAAGGATGAAGGCTCTGTACGTACTTGGATCTTTCCTGAAGAGAGTGTTCATGACTGTGGCATGCAGCTTCACCCTGTCCCATTCTTTAAGCATCAGGCCAGAGGCCACAAAGCGCTCCACCAGCTGATCAGCGACCATCTGCAGCCTGGGAACCACAGAGAAAGAACAGGGCCACGTCAAACAAGGAGCCTCTGCAGCACCAGCTCTTGGCTTTTCAGCCAGAAGGGCAGCAAGTGTGAAATGAAGTCTCTGCATGCACACAGGAAAGAGAGCTAGTCCCTGATGGAAAGCGAGCAGAGCATCAGCATTCAGCTCTAATGCAAAAAGTTCTGACTGTTACACAAAGCTTCCTCTGTGATCGCTTCTGCTGCAAATATTCCACGAGGAAGGGCAGATTTAGCACAGCAGAGAGCTCGCTCACAGTGACAGATGTTACTGGGAGCTGAAGGATGCATCTTTCTACTGCCAGGAAACACAATGTGACTCTCCTTGCAAATGCTAAAATCTGCACACCCGCGGGGGCTTGGGCACCTTGACTCCCGAGGATGTGCTCAGGGACTGCTGCAGCCTGGCTCCTCTCTGGCCCAGATAACCAACCCAGCCACTGGGCTTGCTTTCTGGGAGAGCCCAGAGCGTGGTGACAGGGCCACAACCCCTGTCAGCACATCCTGGTGAACACTCCAGCTTTGGAGCTACTGAGCAAGCAAAATCCAAGGACTTATTCCCACCTTTGTGTCTGGCCTTGACTGTCAGGATCTGAGGGCAGACCCATCCTGGGACGGGCAGCAGGAGCAGGGATCAGAGCAATGTGCTCCTGTCTAAGGAGCTGAAGGAACTTCCAGGCTGCTGCTGTGCCCAAAACATTTCTGCAGTGCCTGATTCTTACCAAAGGTAGAGAGGATATGCCAGAATGAGAGCTTGCCATCTCTGAAAATAAGGCCAGAGGGTATTAAGCCTATGCAGAAGAATCTGAGCTTCTCCCAGCACGTCCCAGGGATTAGAGAGCTTTCTGCTCCGTGAGGTCCCCCCATGTTGGTGTCACAGCTGTGGCAGAGCGTGGCCTGTCCCCAGAGCCTGGGGCTGCCCTGCTCTGGATGCCAGCTCAGATCCCACTGCTGGCTTTGGGCTGCCCCTCACGGGCTGCCAGCTCCCATGTGACCATTTCAAGACTCTCAAACTACCAATTGTCACGGCTTTTTACTATTTTCTGGCTTTACTTCAGTGATTTTTAAAATTAGCAATGACAAAGATTAAATGAATATCATTACAGACAATACTAAAACAAATTAACAGAGAATAGCTCAAGTGAAAATGGTGCTTTATTACGTTATAAAGTTAATCAAGGAAATAAAACAAATTAGAATGAATTATAATGGAAATTATTTGCCATGTGGGAGGCATCAGAGCATGATCCCTCTTTCAGTCTGAGCCATTATATGTGCAGAAGGGCTTGCCAACCCCTAATTCTGTCTGCAGTTATGCAAGCTAAGTCAGGATAAATCAAATCTCCTGCTTTACAGCTTAAGCTGATCAAGATCATCCAAAGATCAGGAAGGAACTCCACCCCTCAGCCATGCCAGGAACTACACAGAGCTAACAGGACATCTTGCATGAGACAGGAAGGCACACACCTCTCTCGAGCACAGGCTGCAGCAGTCTGATCCAGCACAGGAAGCCACGTGGCTGCTGCTCTCCTCTGGCATTGGCCTTGCAGCTCAGAAACTGCTTCCCCATTTCCCTAAGCAAGGCACAGCAGGTTTCAGCAGGTTCCAGGAGCTGTTCAGCAATGACCTGTGTCACAGGCCAGAAAACAAAGCAGGGTTTTCTGGAGACATCACCATTTGTCCTCTCTTAATAATCACTGCTAGTCCAACACAGTGTCTGCTGGAATGTCAAAGAAGGAAAAGCTGCTCTCCATCAACACAAAAAATACCTTTTTTTCCTTTCTGCAAAGATAAATGTTTTTCTGGATGCTTGCTAATAGCTAAGAAATTGTGCAAGAGGAGAAGTGCCAGATGAATGATATCAGGAGAAGGTGCTTCACCCAGATGGCCATGGGGCACTGAACAGGGAATTGTCACTGGCCCCAAGGCTGCCAGAGCTCCAGGAGCATTTGGACAACACTCTCAGGGACAGAGTGTTGTTGGGGTGTCCTGGCCAGAGCCAGGAGTTGGACTCGATGATCCTGATGGGCCCCTTCCAACTCAGCCTATTCTGTGAATTAATCTGCAGGTGAGGGCAGGACCAGGCTGGGCCAAGGATTAAAACTTCAAATGGCTTGGTCCTCTCTGAGCCTGCTGCTATGCAAAAAGCAAAACAGGTGCTGTGGAAGAGAAGCCTGGCAGTTTCCAGGTGCCATGCAAAGCACAAGGTCTGATTTTGTTAAAAACCTCAGCTAACAGATCTCTGTGAAGGACAGTGGAGACATCAGTCCTTTCTTGCGGAGGGTGAGGAGTGCTGTTTTCACTTTCAAGGACAGGTGGATTTGAAGGCCTCACTTCTCTCCCCTGCCCAAAGCAGCTCTGCCAGCCCTGATGCACATCAGCACTTTCTCAGCATTATGCCTAAGTCTGTTCTCATCACACAGGGTACAGCTGGCATCTGAAACACAGCAGGGTGCAAGCACCAACAATTCCAGCTGTCCCCAGAGGCAGGCAGACATCACTGTCAATTTAGGCCCTGCTTATGCTCTACAGGATTCCTCTCCCAGCTCCTCAGGCCGCAGATTTATTTTCAGATGCAACCAGACTGGCAAGCATTGCACCTCAGAGAGAGCCAGAGCTCTGTGACTCAGGAGAACAGGCCTCAGCTCCCAGAGCTGGTATTTTAGATGCTCTCTACAACAAAACCCACCAAAGGGCATTTGGGTCACGCAGTGTCTGTCTCCATCTCATCTTTCCAAGTGCTTCTGCACTCTTTCTCCCTGAGCTCTGTCTCCTGGCTGATCTCTGCTTTGCCCTGGTTCCCCACCCACCCCGTTTGTTTTTATCTCACCTCTTCCAGGGTAGGACAGACTTCAAAGTGGAAGAGCCAAGAAAAGGAAAAGACTTCAATTCCTACTGCCTGCCAGCAGTTCTTGCATTTTTCATTTTCCCTCTCATTTCCTTATCCCACTTCCGATCTCTTACTTCAACACAGCCTCCAAAGTGTGGTTTTAAGCAGGGCCCCCCCTCACCATCTCCTCAGCCCTCAGGGAAAGGATATGCCAGAACATATCCCTTCTTCCCTGAGCCAGCCCCTGCTCACAGCCTCCCTCCTCCAGCTGCACTGCTCCATGCTCCTCTGCTAGCTCCTGCTGTCCTCTAGCAATGGGAGCACACAACAAAAGGGCAGTGCTGCCAGCCAAAGAGAAGGCTGAGGCTCAGAGACATGAGGTAAAGCTGTTTTGGCTACTCCCCTTCCCTATTTCTGGCAACCAGCAGCACTGAGAACAACAGCTCTTATGTTAACCATAGAATCTACAGTGGTTTGGAAGAGGTGTTAAAGATCATCTGCTTCCAAGCCCTGCCATGGGCAGAGACCCCTTCCTCTAGACCAGGGTGCTCCAAGCCCCATCCGTGTTTCCTCAGTCTTCCAGAAAGCACCAAGAGAAAAGATGGTGCTGCCACTGGTGATGCAGTCCTTGTCAAAAACAAGAAGAAGGAAGGTTGTCCAGACACTGTCACAGCCTGGGCAGGGCTGTTTGTAGAGCTGAAGCCATCAGCCACAGTGGTGAGCAGCACAAACATTTGAGCTGACACCAACCAGGCTTCAAGATCTTGCAGCAGCAGCAGCTCCAAAAGACATTTCACACCCAGCACCCATTCCAGGCTGCTGCAGACACACAAACCCACTCTGTAATCAGGTCATGCTCTTCTGAGGACCTTCTGGATTAACTGGGTTTTAAGAATAATTAAGTACTGCAGAATAGAATACACCAGGCTGTCCAGATTAATCTGGACTGCAAGTTGGGAACTAGACAGCAGAGACCAAATCATCCTGCCTTCTAAGTCATCTCAGGAGTATCTGCTTGGCCATCTTATCCCTGTGCAAGCCGTGACTCCATTATTCACCCTGCCAGACTGCTGCAGAAACAAATGACATCCTTCAGCTGCAGCCCCAGTGAGTGACTGAAAGAGCAAACACATCACTGCCCAAACTGCTTCAGGAAGCAAGGATGACTTCATCTTGGTGACTGCTGGCCTGAGGACTGCCAGCAATACCCACCAGCTCCAGAGCGCTTCCCTGGCACTCTGGGGAGGAATGAAAGACAGGAGCAGGGGGAACTCACCTGTCTGAGCCATCCTTCATGTGGACTTTGGCATAAAGGACATCTGTCATGGCAGGGTCATCGTTCATGTACTCCACTCCTGCCACCTCCACTGTCAGGGGCTGGCCTCCAGTAATTTGGCTAAAACACAAGAAATCCTTAATGTTAAAAAGCAAAACATCACACCAGCTCTTGAAATGCAACACACAGGGTTCCTTGTGCACATATCAAATATTTGGGTTTACTGTGGGAATGAGATTAGATACTCTTTTTGCCACAGTGAGACACAAATTTGATGTTAAGTGGGACTTAAATGTTATACAGAGCCTATGGGGCAGTGAACTCCACTGAGGAGTCCTTCTCTGTCCCCTGTTTTTCAGCTTGTTTGCACTGCAAAAACCCAAACCCAAAAAGTCTCCCTAATTCCTAAAACTCAAAAGCCTATGGCTGCCATTGCCTTATCACCCCAAGTGGTAAAAGAATTTAAATTCATACATTTGGTGCTTCAGACACACATTAAGTCAATTTGTCAGTGCTCAACATGGAGATCTCCATCCACATGTCAGAAAATTCACCAGAAGTAAACGGTTCAAGTTCTCATTCCAGAGAGGCTCCTGCCTCCCTGTGAAAAGACCAACCATAAGGTCTCTGATTTTTGCTGGGAAAGGTACTTGATATAGAACACAGCTCTGAGTGCAACATCCAACCAGTAAATAGAGCTGGTTTAAAATCAGCTCCAGCTCTTCATGCACGATATAATATGCACTCCCACACCTGCAAACGCCCTGTGAGTGTATCTGCCTCCCAACACACTGCCTCCTTGCCTTTCCCAGCACAGCATCCTGGGGAGGATGGTGCCACAGCCAGTGTTCCCTGTGAGTAAGTGATGCCTTGTTTAACAGGGCTTATGGAAAGAACAGGGAGTGTCTGGGCAGGCAGATGTAACAAACACGAGTTAACCAGGTGAGTGTGACTTTGCTCTGACCTTGTTCACTTCTGTTCAGCTTTTGAGGAGCTCAGCAAAGATTCCCAAGTGAAATAAGCAGTGTGATTTTCCTTCCCAGTATAGTTACTGGGAGGGAAACAGCACAAATGGACTATTATGGACACCAAACTAACAGCACTAAAGGTCACATATTCTAAAAAGGGTCAAAACAGTCACAGCTACCTTCACAGGGCACTGGCTGCACTTTAGAAAAGGAAATGAAAGCTAATGAAGCTTTATGTAGGTGGAAGGGAGCCTAATTAATTTCCCAAGTATATTTACTTGGGTGTGGAAGGGGAAATAAACTAAAGGTTACCTTCAAGTGTTGATTTCCCCTTCACTAAAGGAAATAGGGAGCAATGATTTTCTCGGCATCAGTTCAATCCATTTATGTGGAGGCTGGCACTTTCCAAATATTGCATTCAGAGCCTCCCCCTGGAAACACACTTGCATTTCTGTTCAACAGCTGAACTGAAGCCATCCTTTTAAAGGCAGAGGTATGAATTCTGGCCATGCATTAATTCCCACAGATATTAGCTGGCACGGCGTGCCCAATTCTTCATGCACCGAGGCAGCAAATAAATGAACGCGAAGGATCCGTGCTCAGTGTGCAAAGGCTTTGCAGAAATAAATAAATAAACCTCCCCCTCAGGCCATCTTCAATTACTAAGCTGACCAGAGATAAGCTAATTACGGTGTCACTGGAGCACATTTGCAGGCAAAGCCCCAACATCTGCAGCTTGGTGTTAGCAGGCAGCGAGGCAGCCGCGCTCGCAGGGCAGCACGGACACTTTCAGGCTGATTACTCACAAGGCTCCTGATGGCTTCCCTGCACACAGCTCCCCTCGTCCAGGAATGTGTGTCAAGGACACCTCAGCATCTGCTCTGAGGCAGGAGGGAAGGGCCAGAGCCCGCTGCAGGCAGCGTGCAAAGGTAAGGGAGCTCAGCCCTGCCTCTGCAGCAGGCAGGGGACAGCGGCAAAAACTGCTCAGGCACAAAGAATGGGGATGCACGTGAGGAAGGGAAGTGAGCAGAGCAGGTTTTCAGGGAATGCCCAGGGTCTGAGCTGAGCTAGAGATGCTGTAAGGCTCTCTGTGGCTGCTCAAGGATTTCTACTGCCCCATTTGAAACATTTCAGCCTTTTTCTAAATTTCTAGAGTTGAGAGAAGACTGCTGAGCTGCTCTTCTCTTTGCTGTTCTTTGTCAAGACAGAGAGCTGCTTTCCCCTCTCTCATGGCCTTGGTGATGACATCCCTTTCCCACCACTTACTCCACAAAGTCCTCTTTGCACCGCTGCAGGAGGTCACAGGCTTTCTGGATCTCTTGTTCATTCAGGAGCACCAGGGTCCCAATGGTCAGGTGAAGCTTTGCAGGGTTCTGGAACAGGCTGCTGCTGACCCCCTGATCCTACAAAACAGTCCATCACACAGAGGTGTCTTACCTCATCCACACACACCCTGCTCCACCACAGGGATAAATACTACAGAAAGCAGGTACCAAGTCACTGGCTTCAATCCTTTTATCTCTGGTCGGGTTGGTAATGACTCGAAGTTGAAAATTTCTCAGGCTTTGTGAAGAAGCAAACTCAGCCTGGCAGATGAGCTGCAGTCCCACCACAGCTCCCTGCCTGTTCTTCCATCAGAGCTGCTGAACAGCAGGCTGTAACTTGGTACCCAGGACCTGCAACACTCACTTGTAAGGGGTTTTTTGGGAGGAGACTTCCACAGCTGTCGACGCAGCATCTGCTACCACCAATGAACTCGACACAAGCCAGCTCAGATTTAAAACTTCAGTCCATTTCTTGTGCAATAAAGCTGAGACCAGCTGTAGTGACAAGCTCTAAATGGTCTCTAAATCCTGTCTAAACATAGGTTGCATCTCACAACAGAAGCACAGCTAATACCAGCTCTGATAATTATATTTTTCTTCTTCCCATATGCCCTATAGTTTGCTGAGGTGAATTAAGTTTAAATTCCCTTTATGAGAAGAGCTGCGTGTTGTTGCTGGGGAGGAGCTGCTCCTAGGTGGAGCAGTGGTTACATCCAGCTTTAAGAAACGTGCTATTCTGTTCTAGGATACTTATAAAAATACCTCAAGGATGGTTAACACACCCATATTAAAACAATTATTTCCACTTAGTGGCTGCTTCCCATCAGCACATTAAATAACCTCCAATTTTAACTCCAGAAGAAGCCAACCTGCCAGGCCATGGAAGCCTTTCTGCATCTGAAAAGAGTGCACCAGCTGAGAACAATAGCTTTGAAGTTTCTACTGTGCTCCAGAGTTTGAAATAAAACCTTTCAGACGTTTAAATGCTGCAGTATCTCAGCCTGTCAAGAGTTTCATGCCCCACATCTCGCTCAGCATTTTTCATGCCTAATGACCACATGCAGACCTTTCTTTACAGCACAGCTTATGTGCTGGACTAGGGACAAGGCAGCCTGCAAAACAGAGGCCAGGGGCTTGCTCCAGCAGCCACAGCCTGGCAAACCAGTGATGGCCCCATCTCACTTCTTCCTACCTTAGCCTCCCTGCAGTAAAAGCTTTGTGGCTTCCTTTAATTCGTGCTGCTGTTCACATGCATGACAGGACATGATTTCTCTCCGTCAGCCTTCCTTCTCCACTGATATCTGCAGTCAGAGAATATTTGGCCCTTCACAAAACAACAGCTTGGGTAACAGAAACTGGGAGAAGGTTTGATTTAACCTTGCCACGGACAACCAGCCGAGGTCACAGGGTGCACAGATGAGGAACAGTAACACAGCCCTTTGCAGGTCAGAAAGCCAAAGCCCTGCCCTCATTTTCTGCCCCAGCACAATTTGTGCTGTAAACATGACCCTGCCCCAAAAGCAGCATTTTCCTCTGAGGTTTTCAACACCTGAGTGTGGGCTGAGTTGACAAACGATGACACGTCACCTCCATGAGCCACGCTACTGCTGCTGGGGAGTTCAGCAGGGAAGAGCAGGGCACAGCAAGCAGGCCAAGACCTAGATAATCCTCCTGGTTTACTCCCTAGTACTTCAGGCAGCTCCTCAAAACCCTGCTTACACTCCCTACTCTTTCACAGGCTGGCAGATCCCACTTCTCCCACACATAAAATAGATGCTGCGTCAGAGCTGGCTCTCCCTGGAACAGCCAATGTTCCTGGGGGTGTCTCAGCAGCCCTTCCTGGCTGGATGCTGCTCACCAGGATGCAAAAAGGCTGGAACTCAATTACTCTAATCCTAGATCATGATGTGTGATCAGCAATCACTGAGTCACCTCATGGGAACCTGCCCTATTGTGTCTACAAAAATGTACTGCTCAGACCTGGGCTCTTTAAGATGTACTGAGAGGCAGGAAGAATAATCCCTTTATGCACTATCCATATGTGATGACTGTCCTTTTTAGCTTATGCCTCTCCCTAACACTGCCCTGTCATGGTCAAAAAACCCCAACTCGTTTCCACTCGGTCATTTTTTCTCCCTCCTGCTACCAAAGACTCCTACCTCTGCTCTCCTACTTTAGGAGGGACACAGAAAGGGTTTTATCTGGGGTCTCCAATTCCTTGCAAAGCCCAAGCACGTTGTCCCTCCAAATGTAAGACCTTGTCGTAGGGAAACCATCAGCCACAACACACTTCAGCAGCCCTTCTACATGACAAGGCCAGGGATCAAGCTCCTCAGCTCTTCTGCCCTGGCTGTGTCCTCTCCACTGTTTTAAGAGCTCCCAGTGTTTGCAGACAGATTTATGGCTTTCAGGTTTTTTCTCCCTTAAGAGCAGGATGCTGCATGCCAGCTATGTGCCCTGTGCCACCCTGCTGCACAAACAAAGGAGCGAGCCAGGAAAACAGTATTTGTACAGGATTGACTGAAGAGCTACAGGCTCAGAAACCCCTCCCACTTTCTGTCCCTTCCACTCTGAGATAAAATACCTCATTAGCAATGTTTGATATTTACAGGTTGCCATGTATGACAGCAATCATGTTTCTTTTCCCTGCTACATCTGCACCCTGTTCAGTCTGCAAACGCTGCACAGCTCTCAAAGACCCAACTGTGATTTTTCACAGCAATGTTTCTGCAAAGTCTCTTCCCTTTTCCACCTGCATGCTCAGCTCTCCTCACGGACATCTACATGACTGTGAGGGAGAGGAGACTTCCAAGGTCATCCAGACCTCCCACTGCACCACATCAGGGATGAGCCTGTCCAGGTGAGCCATCTCCCTGTATTTACATTAAATCAACCTACAAGAACCTCCCCTCAGCCCTGCTTCATTTGCCTGCCAGCCCTGACCTGTACAGCATAAACACCTGAAGTGTTCTGTATTTCAGCAAAAGGTTTATCTTCTAAGAGCCTTTAAAGACACACACACACACACAAAAAAAAAAAAAAACAACAACAACAAAAAAAAACCCACAAAAAACCAAAAACTTAGAAAGCATATACCTACCAACAAAATGCTATAAAATATAAATGAATGGTTGTCATGGTAACTGCTTCAGAGAGAAACAGAGTCCCTCGCAAATGCTCAATGGCCAGAAGAGATCTCACACACACAACAAACACACACCTGCTCCTTTCCCTTCCTTACCATTATCATCCCTCATTCAAAGGCTGAAGTTCACCTAATTCTGCGATGTTTTGCACCAGGCAGAGAAACACCCTGCTTCTGTCACTGAAACCCATTCAGATTTCCTCAAGTATTCTGAGAAATCCCATTGCTTTGGACAGATCTATAAGCTCTTTTATTGCTCTGCGAGGCACAGTTTTGAATTACTGTTTTTCATTACTGATGTGCTTTCTAGCAGACCCTGCTGTGAGATAAAGTGGTATTAGAGTGGCATTACTGGCTGGAGGAGTGATTGAGAGACACACGGGGCTGTACTGTACTCCTCCAACTAACAGGAAGCAATAAATATAGCTAGAAACCCTTTTGTTAATACCACGAGAAGGAAGGGCAGAAAAATAAAGCACTGTATATTCCTAGGCTAAGCATATGCAACACCCTGAATACCTGTTACTGACCGAGTTCTACATTTCAAACTGAAAATTGAAACTCTAGAGCTGATGTAAGCAGTGCCAGGAACATCTCAGGCCCTTATGGGACTTGGAGCTGTCCAGACACAGAACAAAAACTGCAGAACAGACAGGAGGACAGGCAGGAGGAGGACAGTACTTGGTCTCAGCACTTCTCTGACCAAGGCTGGATTGCTGCAGTTTTCTGAGACAAGGAGCATGTGAAGCTTTGCAGGCAGCTCCTTCCAAATGGAACTGACAACACTTGAGGAATGCACAAAGTCTGTGAACATGTTTTTAAGAGGATAGCAGACAACTCCCCTCCCCCCAGAGACAAAAACTGACATTTAAGAGTGAGCAACAGAGAAACAATGTGACAGACAAGATCAAGAGGGGTTTGGAGAGCAAGTGGAGGCTGGGCCAGTGGAGGGCTGCAGAGATGCAACCCACCAAGGAGGCAGGAAAAATGAGTGCTGTGCAGGGAGAAGGGCTGGTCCTGGGTGAGTCTGTTGTGCTGCAGGATTGAAAACACTGGAGGAGAGCACAAACAACAGCACTGCCTGCAAAGGTGGATAAACCACACATCTTAGAAATGTGACACTGAAAGGACTTAGAAAGGTCCCCAGAAGACTCATCCAACAGCAGGGCAGCCTGGAAGCCAGAGGCCAGCAGGGGGCATGGGATAGACTGAGGTGACTGCAGCAGGCAAGGCCACAGCAAGGCACCACAGAGATCCACAGCACCTGCTGGCAGACAGCTGGAGGAGGAGAAGGATCAAACACATGGAGTCCAGGATGCCAAGCCTTCAGGCAGAGCAGTGCCAGAGCTCTGGGAAGGCCAGGTGACAGGACTGTGGCAGCCATAAGCCCAGGCAGAAGGGGATAAAGGGCAAGGGAAAGCCCATGCTGACAGCAGCAGCCTCACTCCAGAGCCAATGGCACAAGCAGCCCCTACAGAGCCCTGTGCAGGTCAGCAGCCCCTCAAAGAGCTGCTGCTCTCACTGTGCCTTGCTGTGTCCCTCACAAGGACTGGAACCAGACACCAACAGAGGGAGCCAGGCCATCGCTGATGTCAGCCCGAGGTCCCAACTCTGTCCAGCCTACACCTTCCCAGGCCAACGTGTCCATCCCCCTGCCTGCAGGGCATTCCTTTAATCAAGGTGAGCTTTATTAAAGGTAGTGCTGCTGGCTAATGAGGAGAGATCATCCTCCTAGCCCAAGGGAAAGGTTTTCCAGGCATTGCACTGGCTGATCCCTGGAACTGTTGGCCAATTTCTGCTGTATTTAATGCCAGGTGATAGAAAGCTCCTAAGATGTCATGGAATTAAGCAGCTGGGACGAGAACAGGGGCTTAAATCCCGACTGCCAGGAAAGACAAGACTGCAAAGACAGCTCATTTCTGCTCTTGGAGATGAAACAACTGACGTGCAAGTGACCATGAGAACTTGAGCAAGAACTCACATCTCCCCAGATACCAGATAATTCAAACCCATGGCATGAAGACACATAAACTTCTCAAGCTGTGCTATCTGCAAGATTGTATTTTCCCCTTTGCAAGCAAAGCAAGAAGAAGTGATGGACATGAAAGTGAAGAGTATTAGCCCACAGAGCCCTGCAGTGTGTCTGTAATGCAACCTGCAGCAGCCACAGAGAGACCTCTCTCCTGCAGCAGCAACAAGGACATGGCAATTTAATAACACCATTCCTTCCCCTCAGCCCAGCCCTGTGCACTGACACACCACTTCTGTCAGCCCAGAAACACACTAAAATAAACCAGGGAATGCAGAGCTTTCCCTTAATTTTCTTCCTCATTTCCCTATGCCTAACTATTTCCTGCTCCTCCCAACACAAGATCTGAAGGCAAGTAGGAGTGCTGTCAGCACAAAGTCTCCTGGGGAAGAAGGGAAGTGATGAGATTTGCAGGATGGCATGTGCTACCCAGTCATTTCTCGCTCAGCTCTGGCAATGACACACATCTTCCTTCACTGTCAGGAGCCAAAAGGAAAGTGAAACAGAAGCAGCAGCAAATTTGTAAATTCTTACCTAATTTCATGGTTATGTAAAAAATCATATAAAATGTAGGTCCACTACATTATTTAGTGAGTTTCCTATTAAAAATAAAAATCCCAACCCTCTTTTGAACCTTAGTGAATTGTTAGTAGAGATTTTTCTAGATGGGAGGATATTTAAGTAAACCATTCCACTTTTCAGAAAATTCCACAACTGCACTCAACAAACTCACAGCAGATCCACTAACTTAAGTAAAAGGCCTATTGAAAATGCATTCTTAGGAAACAAGAGAATGCCAAAGAGCTCTCTCAATAAATGAAACAGCACTGTGCGCTCCAATCCTCATGTGGATCCCTACCTTCGAGCACTTCTCCAGCACCTCCTCCTTGAACTGCAGGAACTTCTCCTGGATGGCAGGCTGGTTGAGAGGCAAGGACAGGAAGTGTGTGAAGGGCTGCTTCTTGCGGAAGCTGTCCAGGAGCACGTCGATGCGCGTCCGCGCGGAGGTGACACCGCTGCGCTGCTGCCCCATGATCACTGCAGGCAAACACAGCAACAACAACCACCTCTCTGCTTCCCTGAAGATCCCTGCTTTTGGTCCCAGCCTCCCAAGGAAGCAGGAGGAATCAAAACTCCCAGCCATGCACTGAGAAACCTGCCAGGCTCCCTGCTTGACTTAAAATGCCCGATGTGGCCATGCTTTCCTCAGCAAAGACAGATGATGCCATCAGAAGCAACTCTCTGCTGTCCACAAAGTCAGCTCTGGGGGCCTAAAAAACACTAACTGAGAGCCCATCATTTCAGGGACCCTTCAGGTTTCTAGAGCATTATTTCAAGTTTTTAGATAGGCAGTCAGAGTGAAAATGCCATGGAAATCTATCAAGGATCAAGACTGTCTGTGTTATTTGTGCATGCACTTCAAGGCACCACACAGAGAACACTTGAGCTCAAAAGGAAAGAACAGCAAGGAGCAAAATTTCCTTGGCTTCCTATTAGTCCATGTTTTCAGCATCTCTCAACCTTCCTAACAGTCCTTCAGAGTTCTTGGGAAGAAGTCAAGACCCACTCCTTGAGAAGCACCACCATGTTCTGTGCAGCATCACAGTGGGATCCTCCCAGCATTTCCTGCTCACAGCTCTGTCACAAACATCCCTGTGCCAGTAACCTCTGGAGCATGCCCTAAGGAACCCTCCAAATACCCACTCTGGCAGAACCCACAAGGGTCAGCCCTGAGGAGCAAGCTCTCCTTTCTTTTTAAATCCCTGGAAGTGATGAGAGGGAACATATGGTACAAGAAGCCCTGCTCTCACTGTTGGGATCTAGTGACAGCACCAGAAAGTCACGAATGTCATCTCAACCCTTCTCATATTAAAGCATGTGCAGATGTTTATTTTGCACACAGACAGACAAGGCATTTCTCTGAATGCTTATTTCAGTTTCTTATTGATGGAATACTATTTCAAAAGCAAAACTAAAAAAAACCAAAAAAAACCAACACATTCCAAGTTCTCAAGCCGTTTAAGCCCAGAAGTAACTTAAAAAAAAAAAACACAAAACCAACAACCTGACACTGTTTAATAAGGATTTATACACAATAAAAATAAGCTCAGGAGAAAAGTGAAGTGACTTTCCCAGGGCCTAAAAGTGAGTCAGTGCTGTGTGAGAAGTAGGAATTAAAGGGAAAACACCTTCAGTACCCCTTCCCTGCTTAAATTGTGCTTGTGCAAGTGGAAAAAAGCACATCTATTTTGTGTATCCTACTCACCAATTTCTCCTTCCACTCCAGGCTTGGGAATGCTGATGGAGGTTCGAGTCTCTGTTTCTAGCCTCTTCTTGGTTTCCCCTTTCTTCCCAATGATGTACCTGGAGGCAGAAAGTGCAAGAGTTTCCCTCACACAGTGACTCTGGGCCACTCTCCCTCACGTGTGTCCAGAGCTGGACCCTCTGTGCTGGATGGATGCACACACCCAGCTCCATGTGGAGGCACAGAGGTGATTCCCAGGACTTTACACATGTCCAGACTGAGACAGTGCTGAGATATGGCTCAAAACTGGCTTAAGTTAAAATAAGTTGCTAGGTCCACAACAGCTCTGCCCACCACATCCTGCCACAGCCTCTGCATCAGCTGGATTATCTCTTTTCCTATTATCCCAGCTGAGCAAGAAATAAGGGCTCTTTTTCTGCTTTTTGCTTTATTCAAGGTAGTAATTTGCCAGCATCCAAATACACAATGGACCACTTTTCCTTCTCTATATTTCAGCAGAACTATCTAATAAAACTGTCAAAAATAACTAGATAAAACTTTGAACACTGCAGGTTCCTCAGTAAACAAGGGACTGGAGTCAATAGCCAATTCCAGTGGCGTGTGCTTTCTCTGAAAGCTCCCACAAACTTCCCCCTGCCAGGCTGCTCGCTCCAGTTCTTCCTCCCCTTCCTTCTCCCAGCCTCCTTGATGCTTTTATGTTCAAGGGAAGAGATGTTCAAAGACTCTCCTGGCAGCCAGCAAGCACCACCTGCTGTCCCCACCACAGGGCCGCTGAGGAGTCAAGCGAAGCCCAACTGCACTTAAAGGCATTCCCAATTTCCCCTTCCCCAGCAGAGCACACCCAGCACATCCAGCACCCACCCCAAGCTCCGAAAATAAACATTCTGTGCTCAGCCTCGTCCCCAGCTGGCTGCAAGTCAAACAACCCAAAGCACACGGGCTCACTTGTACAAGGGGCTGGGAACCTCCAGGCGGCACTGGAAGCCTCGCTCAGTCTCCTCCACCCCGAAGGCGTCGCAGGGCTCGTCCGCGCACTCACCGGGGCCTGCGGGAACACCACAGCCTCTGCAAAGCCTGCCACTGCTTTATGGAGGGCAACAGCCTCCTCCCGGCCTCCTTTCAAGGTTAAATGAAGGAAGGAATGGGCTTCTCTCTGCTGTGGATAACTGGTTTTTATTTATCACCCCACTAGCAGCTGCGGAACGCGTAACGACAGCCCCTAAATCCGGCCGGCTGGGAGGCGCGGGAAGCAGGGAGTTACAGCCCAGGTTTTTTCTCAGCTGGAGTTTGTGCCATTCCCACACGGTGGGAATGGTCTCTTCTGGCAGCTAGTTCAGAAATTTAAGGCTGCAGAAGAAGGCAGATAAAAGGTGAGGATGGTTTTGGGCTGAGGGTTCAGGACAGTGATTTGGAAAGAGATGCACCTTTCATCCGCAATGCATGGATCAAACAGAACACCCTGAAAGATCCATGGTTCCTATTCCCTTTCCAACACAAGCAGGGATGAATTTGAATGGAAAGCACCTGGTTAAAGCTCAGTGCAATCCACTGAAAGGCAGGGTGGGAGGAGAAACAGGACACAACTGCCAGATTCCCATCCGAAAAGTAACACTGGGGCTTTTCTGTGCCCACAACAACTCACACACAGCTACAGCAAACACAGGAAGAAAGACACAGGCAAACACACCAGGACAGCAAGAATTTTGTCCCCAAAGGCCAGGTCTAAAGGCACAAACACTGCAAGGACAGAGGGTCTTTAGCAAGCAGCTGCCATATCTGTAAATAAAGATGGTAAGGAAAAGAAAGAAACCTGGGAAAAACAGATCTACACAGCTCATCAGGTTTTCCCTTTTCCTGCAGTTCTTCCACAGTCAGCAGGCAAACTGAACAGTCAGCAGCACAGTCAGCCAACCCACTTGGGATAACTGGAACTGCTTCCACTTTGGGCAGCAGGATCACCAGGGACCAACACAAAGCCTTTTTCTCCCTCTTGAACCCTTCAATCCACCACATGGGCAGGTCTCTGCGCCCTCAAAGGCATCAGAGATGACTCTGAGGGCTCCCCAGGCCCCCAGTGCTGATGTTTACACCTCCTGAGCATCTCTCCTTACCTGCATAGAAGCTCTCCTCCTCCTCCTGCTGAGGGAAGGCCTGCTCTTGGATGAGGTTTTTCCGGTACACTCGGCCCCCGATCCTCACCAGGGGAGGCCGCAGCACATCCATCCTGCTCCTCCTCCTGCTGCAACAACAAGGACAGCCATGCTAGGGAAAGCTCCTTTCAGGCCAAGGAACAGCTCCTTTCAGTGCTGGCAGGGACATTAAAGCTCAGCTCATTCCAGTGCCCTGCCGTGGTTCCACTATCCCAGGCTGCTCTGATGGGGCAGCCACAGCTTCTTCTTCTCCTGCCACCCTCACAGGAGAACAATTCCTTTCTAATATTCAGTCTCAACCTCCCCTCCCTGAGCTAAAAGCTCCTCCACATGAAGTCTTCAGAAAGGCAACACCTCCTCAAGCCTTACGTGTCTCAACCAAAGAGCAATTTGATGAGAAGTCACAAGTACGTAAAGTACAATCAAGCGGAAAGAGGAAATTTAAGCAGTGTAAGCTATGTAACTCTGAAACTTACTAAAAGTCACTGTAATCTCAGTCAGTGTGACATTTCATAAGTTTCTTTGGGCTTTAGCTGGCACGGAGTTAAAAATGTTTAGAGTGGAGAGCATTTAAGGTGCTAAAACAAAGAGCCAGCAGTGTTCTGTCAGAGACTTCACATCTCCAGCATGTGAATTTCTATATTCACTGGCATGGTTCATTTAATATTGGTTGTCTCCATTTTAAACCAGCATATGTTACTCACAAAATAAAGTTTCCACCAAAAAATTAATCTTTGTCAGAAAGTTCACCTGTCCACAGCCAACAGAACAGGAAAAAAGTAGGAGCTTGCCTCAGGAGCAGCTAGCTTTTATCACAGAGTGACATCAGGTCGGGAAGGTTAATACTGCTCCCCTCAGTTCGAGCCCCGCCTTTTGAAATGACTCACAATCATCTGAACTTACACGGATAATAAAAAACACTACACTTCAATAAAAGCAGTAATTTCTGTGGCTCAAGGGACGACGTGCAGAGGCCAGCTGTGCACAATGACGGGAAAAGCCATGAAAAATCAGTCGCTGCGGCTTTTACTTCCACGCAGGGTTTTGGGGTTTTTTTGGTTTTTTTGGGGGGGAGGGGAGGTTTTTTTTAACACACTGGTGCCACAATTTCTTGACACAAGGACATCTGAAAAGCGAGCAGCGACAGCGGCGGGCAGAGCGCAGCTGGGGCTGCAGGATCCGGCTCCTGACGGCAACATCCACAGCGGCTCCGCGGGAACCAGGCAGGGCCCGCACCGCGCAAAGTCCCGGGGCACCGAGGGCACTGCAGCAACAGAACCGCTCGGCTTTACTGTGATACGGCTGCGAGAAGGCAGCGGCAGCAGCGAAGCGTCCCCACTCCCCCTAACGCCGCCGCCGCCGCCGCCGCCATTTTGTGCCCGCTCCCCTCCCCTCCCCTCCCCTCCCCTCAGGCGCCCCGCCGGAAGTGGAGCGCGCCCCGCCCCATCATGCACCGCGCGCGCGGCCACGCGCGCCGCCCGCACCGAGCCGCCGTCCCGGCTCCCGGCTGAAGGAGAGAGCGTTCGGCGCGGGACCGGGGAGCGCCGGGAGGCGGCGGAGGCCCGGGAGGTGAAGGGCGACGGCGGGAGCGCGCGGGGAGGGCGGAGGCTGCGGCGGCGCGTGGGCTGCGCACTCACCGGGAAGCGGCTCGGAGGGGCCATGGGCGGGAGGGCGGGGAGGAGGCGTGGCCTGTGTGTGGGCGTGGCAATGAGCTCACTGGGGGCGTGGTCTCGCGGGCGGGGCCCCGCCCCCGCCAAGATGGCGGCTGCTGAGGTGCCTGAGGCCTTGGCTGGCGGTTCCTGTAACAGGCCCAGGCATCGCCCTGACCTGCCGCCTCCTCTCCTCTGTGTTTGTTTAAAATAAACCCCCTGCAGCCACACTTAGGAATCTGCCGGGTCTGCGAGCCCCGGCTGGCATCGTTTCAACGCCTCGCTTGTGGGCAGGGACCCGGGCCTGAGGGTTCGCTGAGGGAGGGGTTGCTGGGTGCAGCGTAGCAAAAATAAAAGTTTGTTTTATGCAGGCGTTTTTCGTCACGGCCCGTAAGCCCCCAGCCTCCTGTGAGCTGCTGTTTTCTGCGTGGCACGCAGTAATCTTGAGTACTCTTGGGAAACTTAATTACAAGGGACAGAGGAACTGGACAAGGGGAACGGCTTCCCGCTGGCAGAGGGCAGGGTTGGGTGGGACATTGGGAAGAAATTATTCCCTGTGACTGTGCCCTGGCAGTGCCCAAGGCCAGGCTGGACAGGGCTTGGAGCAGCCTGGGATGGTGGAAGGTGTCTCTGCCCATGGCAGGGGGTGGAATGAGATGAGCTTTAAGGTCTTAAAACCCCATTTTCTCCACAAAACCCTCACATGTTTTCCATGTGTACCCTACAGAGCCTTCAGAAGTGTACTGAATACGATAACAGAAATTAATGAAATGGGCAGGATAGTTTGGAAGTGCTTTATGAGTATTTGGAGGAGCAGCAAGTGCTGTCACTGATAAGGGCCAAGTGACACCTTTTGTACTATCAGAGAGGGACATGAGGAGTTTGAATTCCTTCGTGACAAACCCAGCACCTCTTAAAAACACAGCTGAGAAGAGAGCGTGCAAAAGGCAGCTGGAATTGTGCTGCACAGGCAGATGGATCCTCAGGCACTGCCAGTTTCAGTCAGTCCAGTGTTTTAAGGGCAGAATCACGTCTGGGTGATGCAGACAGCAGCTGCTGCAGGCTCGGCACGGCGTGGCTCCCTGCAGGATGTGCTGCTGGAACTGGCAGTCCCACAGCCTTCCAGGTTTTATGAGGCAGCAGCGCTTCTGTGTTTGTGCTCCTGGAAGCAAGGAGGAAAAAAGGAAAGAAACTCCACCTTTCATGGCCCTGGGGAGCAGGACAGTGAACTCAGGCCTGCAACCTGCACCTCATTATTCTTGTGCACACTCTGGATGGATTCCCAGGGGAATTCCGAGGGGTCAGAGTGGGGGTTACCTTCAGTTTCGGGCTGTGACAGGTCTGTGCCCATCCCCACAGTGGGCACAGGCAGCTCTCCCAGACACACAGAGCAGCCTGGGCGCTCTGGGGCAGGGGGGTGGCTTCATCCTGCCCTCATCCCTCCTCGGCGGCGTGTGGCTGCTGGGAGCTCCGGGATGCCCTTCCTAACTCAGGCTCTGCTTTGTCCTAACTCAGGCTCTGCTTTGTCCCCCCGGCTGGGCCGGGGAGCCATGGCAGCCTCCTCCTCGTCCTCCTCGGCCGGTGGAGTGAGTGGCAGCTCCGTGACAGGCTCGGGGTTCAGCGTTTCGGACCTGGCGCCGCCCCGGAAGGCGCTCTTCACTTATCCCAAAGGAGCCGGGGAGATGCTGGAAGGTGATTGCTGCTGCCCCTCTCCTTCCCCGCTCCTCCTGCAGCTGCTGAACTTCGCACCCTGCTGGCAAAGGCTGGAGGTAGAAAGGAAGCACCGGGGTTTGGTTGGTCCTGCCTTTCCCACCAGTCGTTCAGGAGGAAGTGATTTTTCTGGCAGTCACCTGCTTTTTATCTCCATGACAGCACTTCAGACCAGGAAGCATCTACCTGAAAGGGAACATGACTGTGTTAATTGCTCATTGTTAGCTAATCCTTTGATGTCAGGCAGGGATTGCTGCGAGGATAGCTGAGACAGGAATATTTTTCTTGGCAGAAGTAGTAATTTTCTTGGTTTGGGTTGGATTTGACGGGGTTAGTCTAGGAGGCAGCTTGTTTCCCTGCCAGCTTGCATCTGGGTGCCCGAGCTTCATGGGGATCGTGGAAGGAGAAGCCCAGCAAGCTCTGGGGGAGGGAGGAAGGGCAGGTCCTCCAGGGTTAAACCAGTGTCTCTGTGTCTGCTCCCCTTGAACTTCCCTTGTCACCGTGGGCTGGCTGGGAGTGAGGCTGGGGTGTCCCTACGGCAGCACAGGGCAGCTGGGAGCTGATGGCTGTGCCGTTGAAGGGTTGTTTTTATTACACATTAGAGCCCATATGCCAGGCTATTGAAGTAATTATGACTAAAGGTTTGCTCACAGAACTTAACGAGCCCTCAAAACAAATTAAAGTAATGAAGCACTTCGTGTTAGCAAATAGACAGGCAGCTGTTCCTCCTGAGAGCCACTCGGCAGGACAGACAGGGAGTCAGAGGAGGGAATCCAACATTTGGGTTGGAAAAGGCCTCCAAGACCATTGAGTCCAGCCTGTGACCAATCCCCACCTTCTCAACAGCACCAGAACACTGAGTGCCTCGTCCAGTTGTTCCTTGCACACCTCCAGGGACAGTGACTCCACCACCTACCTGCACAGCCCCTTCCAATGTTTTTCCATGAAAAAATTGTTGCTGATGTCTCCACAATGTATTTGGGGCAGCACTTGTAAGGGGAAGCTCTGAGCACAGTGAAACTCCAGCTCTTCCCTGGGGTTCAGCTTTGGATTAGGTATTTCCAGAGTTTTGTCTTTGAAGCTGCTCTCCACATTGTTATGGCACAGAGCTTTAAGTGGATTGTGCTTTGGGCTGACCTCTTTTACCAGGAACACAGCAGTTCACCTGCTCTGGGTGGCAGCAGCAACCAAACCTGTCCCTGTTGCAGGAAGCTCTGGGTTGGCTTTTGAATTTCTGACACCAAAGGTGGGACACTTTCATCAGGCAGCTGCCAATGGAGAAGCTGCAGTTTCCTCTTCCAAAATTCCCACTGACTGACTGATTTTATTACTGCTTTAGCTATCTCGCTTGTCTCTAAATAAACCCATAGGTATTTTTGGGGTTTTTTAGAAGGAGGCAGTATAAACTATGTCAATGCTTGGTACACAATTAGCTATGTTTTCCAGATTGCTGTATTTCTGAGTCACTTGCATGATCAATTACTGACTTGGATGGCAAGATACACATTATTTGAAACTCTCTGGGGTTATGGTCTAAGCCCGTGGGAAATCCTAAAGCATTCTAAGGACACAAGTTGTCCCTCTGAGCCCTGAGGGAATCAGAGACTGCCATAACATTACCTGGCTTCTCCTTAACTTAACTTCTATTTAAAATGGACTGAAATTGCTTGTCAGAGAGGATGTAACAGAATTCCACCTGGGATGTCTTCCCAGGCAGCATCAGGAACCAGCCAAAGCCCTGTGCAGGGTCACAGGGGCTGCAGTCAGCACAGGGGAAAGGGTCAGAATGAGGCATGGGTGAGCCCACACCTCAAACATAAAAATAGGAGGTCAGGGGCACTGAAGGCTGCTCAGCCTCAAACTCTGGGATTCAGCCATCTCCTTTTCTGTTGACAGATGGCTCTGAGAGGTTCCTCTGCGAGTCTGTGTTCAGCTTTCAGGTTGCATCAACATTAAAGCAAGTGAAGCACGGTAAGCGCCGGCCGCGTGTGGCTCGGGGAAGGCGGCGGGGGCAAAGCCTGACCTGCTCGGGGGTGTCAGCCACAAGAAAGCAGAGTGAGCACTAAGTCAGGCCACCGCTGAGTCCTTTTGCAAGCCCTATGCAAAGTGCTGGGAGCCCACAGAGGCGGGGTGGGAACGGGCTTGTTTTTCCATGGCTGTGTGGCAGCTCAAGGTGAGGCGGGAGGTTCTGAGCAGGAAACGCCCACGCTCTGATCTCTGACAGCGCTGACTGGCTCTCTGGCCTGGGGCACAGGGACGCTCCATTCCACCTTTGTTTCTCTGCTGAGCCCTTGTGGCCCTGGCAGGGTCAGGTGAGGTTTCCAGAGTCACTCGGGAGGCGGCCACGCGTGGCGTGGCGTGACAGGGCTGAGTACACTCCGTGCCTCCCCAGGGAACAGCCTGATGTCCTGTTTGAACCTCTGCTTCGCTGCCAGGCTCTTTGCCCTCACCCAGGTGCCTGTGACCCAGCCGTGGGCTCGGCTGCGTCACAGCTTTGGTTCTCACAGAGCCCAGCAGCAGATCCTGTCTGCTGCTTGAGGGTCACATCCTTTCTGGTCCCCGCCTCTGGTCAGCCAGAATGGTACTTCCACCTGTTGTCTCTGAGTGGAGAGGTTTCCTGTCCTCCTCCCGTTGGGGGGGTGTGCAGCAGCTTGCAAGGCCATGCACCAGAAAGCAAAGCTGACCTCCAGAGCCATTGTTTCCAGAGCTCTGCTGTGGCTGTAGCTGCCAGGGGCTGCTGCACCGCCTGGCACCCCAATAGACACCAGCCTTTGGAACTGTGGAGCACCTCCCTGTTTTCTCCCTGTAAGAAAGGTGGAGGGCTTAAAAAAAAAGATCGAGGTCATCATTTTTTGGCTTGTTTGTTTGACAGTTTCCAAAAGGGTGCAGGAGGTGGAGTGAGAACAGTCCCTCTTAAAGCACCCACTGCTGCAGTCAGCATAAATCACACACAGTTTATGTTACGCCTCTTGCTAGCCCTGGGCCGTCTCTCCAAGAGGCTGCAGTGAGCTTACAGCGCTGTTAGACTTCCAGCAGAGCTGGGAGAAGGGATGTTCCCATCTCTGCACCACTGCACACATCTAACTGAAAATGGACCCTGTGTGCCCGACACGCGACTGGTTATAAATAAACCCGAGAGGAAGATGTTGTCTGGGGACCTTCCTCTCATTAGCAGGCTCTGCTTGCAGAGCCTCTCTGCCACACTCATCCAGGTCCTCCTCCAAGGACCTTCATCAAGAGCACAGTTCCTCCTGCTGCACCCAGCTCTACCGTGGGCTGACCAAGCCCTCTCTGAACTTCTCTGTTCTTCTGCACTATAAATATTTATGCTTCATGAAATGAGCTGCATCCTGTTTTCACCCCCTACACTAATGGGCATGATGTTTCCCTGTTAGGACTTGAATGTACGTGGCACGGGCAGGGATGGGTAAACACACTGTGGGGCAGAAAAGCCTGTCCCTGCTTTCTCCTCGCTGTTTGCACAGAGTGGGTTTGAATTCAAATGAGCTCCGTGGGTTTTATTCTGCCCTGCTCCCCACTGACAGCTGGGAATTTGCATCTAATTGAAAGGTTTAATTGCACTGCCATTGCAAACCACAGTTACCTTTGAACTCCTCACAGATCAACAAGTCGCAAGGATGGAAAAACTTGCCGGTCTGGTGGAAGAGCTGGAGGCAGATGAGTGGAGGTACAAGCCAATAGAGCAGCTCCTGGGATTCACTCCCTCCTCAGGCTGAGCGTGTCTGGATTGCTGCTGTCAGGGAGCAGAAGAAGAACGTTCCCTGGCCCAGCTTCAAAACACCCCCCATTTATCAGATGCTGACAGCTGCATCAGCAGGATGGGGCTTTGGGTTTTTTTGAGAGTGGGGATCCCCCGTAAAGCTGCCAATAAACAGAAATGACGAGATTCTGTAGGTCCTTACAGGCTGGCAGGGCTTGGTTTCTGTAACTTAGAAGGCAGGATCAGCTGCACAGCCCCTGGGTAATCCCTGTGTTGTTTACAGAGGGGGGCACACGGGCAGTGTGGCTGCGGGGAGGGCGACCTCGTAACTCGGCCCGGGTTCCCGCTGGAGCGCAGCCGGAGCGCTGGGTGAGCGGGGAAACCCTCTGGAGCCAATGCCAGAAGCACTCCTCAGCCCCTGCCGTCGTTCTGGGGGACGGACACAAACTGTCCCAGGGCTGGGTGAGGGGCCAAGAGGTGTCACCTCCTCCAGCAGTGCCTCGGCCATTGCCCGAGCTGTTCCCTCTTCATCGCTGTTTCTGTGGTAGCGCTGGCTGGACACTGCTCTGTCTTACATTACCCTGAAACTTTGTTCTGTATTAGATTTCTCGGTGACAATAAAATAACTCTGAAACCCTTTATCTGGTCTGATGAGGAAAGAATCAGCTGTTTGGGAGTTAAGGAGGTGTAGTGAAGCTCAGAGGCAGATCGACTGTCATGATGGTAGACTGAAGTTCAATGTGAGAGGAACCAAACCATGCTCAAAAGTGGCTGGATTTAAGTCAGATTTTAATCCTGGTTTAACTCAGGCAGAAGAGAAGACCCTGGTTTAAACCCATCCATTTAAATCATCTTGTTTTTCAGTTGTACTTCACTTCTGTTCTTGGAGGGAACTGGATTTCCATGTTCTGGCATAATCACTTCAACATGTTGATTTTCCACGGATGAGAGCCTTCGCCCCATGGCTCTGCTGGCCAGCAGGGGGTAGGAGCAGCACCGTATGCAAGCAATTATTTGATTTACTGCTCCAGATGCCTAATTTTTCCATTTTCAACATCTTTCTTACGACATTATTGTATTTTTTACTCACTTTTTCAGCCCAGCCACATCTGCATTGAAACAGATTAACTGGGATTCATTCCCATTTTAGATCACCAGCAATTAGCTAAAACTGAGGGGGAAAAGTATACAGCCACCTTCTGTGTTTGTTGCTGTGAATAGATCAGTTCCAGTGCCAGAGTCAGCTCTGGGCCATCCAGAGCCCCACGCTGCCTGAGCCGCAGGTGAAGCCGCAATTCCAGCTCCGTGGAAATTCACCGCACGGCTGCCGGAGCGGCGCAGGGGCGTTCTCACGTAGGGCTGCAGCTCAGCTGAGACTGTCCCACGCTGGCCGCCCCGGCCACGGCCCCAGCCCGGAAAACCTCCTCCCCAGCCTTGGAGGGCTGCCAGGCCCTGCTCTGCGGGGGCCTCCTGCACAGTCAGCGGCTCCAAACGTGACGGCAGGCGGGATTCAAACTGCAGCCCAGATGGGCTTGCTCGAGAAAGAAGGGAGCGCTTCAGCCCTCCACTTTTTTGTTTGCTTGCTGGCATCTGTTTTTAATCCTGCTCACTCCAGCCATCTACATCTACCTTGGCCAAACCTGCCAAAAATCCTCACCCCATATCATTGTGGGGTTTGGGAATGGAGCAGTAGATCCCCTAAACTCCCTCGCTTACACCCAGTAACCCCTGCTCGCTGACCCAGCACAATCAGCCACAGAAAAAGCTTTTCCTTTTCACTGCTCAACTTGGGAAATTTTTACACCCTGCCAGCTCTCCTGGGATGCCAGGGGCTCGGCACCTGCAGCTCTGCCCAGGGGATGCAGTGCCCAAGCATTGCCCAGACTTCCCCGTCCAGATCCAGAGCACGGCGGGGCTGAGATTTATCCCCCTCGCCCTCCTCCCACTGCTTGTTTTCCAGCAGTTTCTTGTGCTGGGACAGAGCAGGAGCAGGGAACGTCCCCAGCTCTGTGCTGTACATGGTGTGTTTGTATGTGTGCCCAGCACCAAAATAGACACATGTGTGAGAGCCATTGAGAGGAAGTGAAAAGTTCACCCTGTACAGTACTACGAATGCAAAAACATGTTGTTGGCCGTTCCCTCCTCCCGCTCAGTAAACACTTTATGTAAGGCGGGGAGAACTGGAGGGATCCGTACGGGCAAAAACCTTCCACGCTCCCCCTCCTCCAAACCCAGGTTTTCCCTGGCAGCTGGAAATTCCCAAACCAACCTATTTCCTGCTTTGCAGATCAGTGGGGCTGCGCCAGCGGTGGGTATTTCTCCTTGGGGTGTGGAAGCCCCACGTCCCCCTCGCCCCGGGAGCTCAAGGGGCTGTTCAGCTGGGCGCGGAGCGCAGGGGGGAGGGAGCCCGGCAGCTGCCAGAAAAAGTTGATGAGGGGAGGGGAGGGAAAATAAAAAAAGAGCCGAACAAAGAGCCTCGTTCAGAGCTGCTGTTGGTTTTCCTGTGGGTGCTCGCGGCAGAACGTTATGTACCGGCACAGGCCCCGCTCACACCTCCCCTCCCCGGCTCCTCGCCGCTGGCCACGGCCCCAGCGCTGGCCACGGCGCCAAGGCACGCGCTCGCCTGGCTGCCCGGGCAGGCCGCCCGCCGCCGAGCGCCTCTCCCAGCATCCAGGGTGCAGCGTGTGGGGCAGCACCCCCAGAAACACCTCTGCCATCTTTTCCCCCAGAAGCACCCAAGGCCAGAGAGGTTTCATGGCCCACACCCTGCGAGCGACACGCTGCCGACCCGGCGCTCGACCCGGCGCTTGGCATCCCCGCTGCCAAAACCTGTCCGGCGCCCTCGTGGATGCACGTTCCCGCTTCCTCCGCCCCGCTCCTGCAGCTGCCTGTCCCAGGGGCGAGAGACGGGCCCGCGAGGTTTGGCTGTGGCACAGACCTGCCCGGCCGGCGGCACGCCGGGACCTGCCACGGCGTCCCACGCAGCCAAAGCTCACCTGTCAGAGCTGGCCGCGGGCTCGGGAGATGCAGGGTCACCCCTGTGTGCTGTCACCCCCAGCCACAGCCAGGCACCCGGTGTGAAGGACACCCACCCCAGCAGGCACTTAGGGGGCACAGAAAGAACCATGGCCTCAGCCCCTCTGTTACTGGGACACAAAGGATGCCAGCGGTGTCCGTGCCAGCCCGATGTGTAAATTTACCTAAGAGCAACTTTTTTGGCTACTGGGAAAAAAACATGAAGCCAGGGACTCCTCCACAGCAGTAGCCCATGGGGCAGGAATTTGCTCCCCGCCGTAGAGGGGCACAGTTTGCACCGGACGTGAGCCAGAGCACTCGCTGAGCCCCTCAGTACATCTCCTCCCTTCCTCCTCCTCTTCCTCCTCCTCCTCCTTGTTCCCAGCCCCCTCCCCCTGCAGGCTGCAAAAGCGCTGAGCTCAGCACATGGCGGGCAGGGGCCCGGCCAAGGACCCTCCCCAGTGCCAGCCGCTCCCCCCGGCTCCTGCTTAACCCTTCCAGGCTGGAAATCAGAGCGATGGAGTCAGTCTCATCCCAGGCGGGGGCAGGCACAGCCGGCTGGGAACAGCCTGTCCACAAAGCCTCGATCTCTGCTCTCCCAGAAAGGACAGCGGGTCAGGGGGAAAGACACGCCGCTGCTCCACAGAAACCACGCTGCCTTTACTGCCAGCAGCAGGACCAGGGGAGGGGAAGTGCATGGATTACCAACACTAAAACTTTGCTTCCCAGCCCAAAACCATTCCTAGAGGCCCTGCTGCAGAGGAGTGGCCTGGATCTCAGCTGCTTTTGGGAAGCAGAAGGAGCTGCCAGCCCCACATCGCCTCCCCTCCCAGCTGGATGATTTTGTTGCAGGGATCAAAAATTGCATTTCCCTTTAAAACTTGCCATCGCACCAGAGCTGCTTGCTCTGCTGCCTACCAGGAGATGTTATGGCAAAGAAAGAAAAATATTTATGCTTGGCTCTAGAATTCCAGCTTATTTTTAGCAAGGCGCCTTCCCTGTGGTCCTTTACCTCTTTTTTTGTTTATTTGCTGCTTCCCCCCTGTTTTGACCCCCCAAACCAGCAGATCCTCATCTATTTTCAGCCTCAGTGACTTGGTGGCTGTGGGAAGAAATAACCCACGAGATACATTTTGTGAAAAACAGGATCCCAAGCACCATCCCGCTGAGTGTGCAAATATTGGGGCGTATTTTTAACAGCTGGGGGTTGGGGGATTGTTAATTTTTTGTCCCAAAAACCGACGGAGTATCTCTGCAAGCTGCAGGCACAGGCCAGGACTTGTTCCCAGCTCCCCACACCTCTCCCCTGCTCCCTGGGATGCTCCCCACTCCCCCAGCCCGGACTTCCACGCCCTAAACGCAGATGGAGTCAAGCTTTGACCCCTAAAAAGCAGCTGCTGGTGGGTGCCCAGACCCCTTTGTGCCCGCTTTGGGTGGCAGGTCACAGGCTGGGGGACCTGTGTCCCGTGTTTATCGCCGGGCTCTTATCCCTGGGGGAAGGACAGGAGCCGAGATAGGACCGGGGAGGCTTCGGGGAGCTCAGCCCCGCCGATAACGGCGCGGGAGGACAAACACAGCCCTTTATCTGCGGCCGGGCTCCCCGCGCTGCAAAGGCCACGTACGCGGGGACCAGCACCGGGGCCGCGGGGACACTGCCGTGGTGGGGGACACTGCCGTGGTGGGGGACACTGCACAGCGGGGACACTGCCACTGCGGGGACACTGCACAGCGGGGACACTGCCATGGTGGGGGACACTGCACAGCGGGGACACTGCCACAGCGGGGACACTGCCACTGTGGGGGCACTGCCACTGTGGGGGCACTGCCACTGCGGGGACACTGCCACTGCGGGGACACTGCCACTGTGGGGGCACTGCCACTGCGGGGACACTGCCACTGCGGGGACACTGCCATGGTGGGGGACACTGCCACTGCGGGGGCACTGCCATGGTGGGGGACACTGCACAGCAGGGACACTGCCACCGTGGGGGCACTGCCACTGCAGGGACCGGGTGTGTCCCGGCCTGGCTTAGGGGACACCAGGGAAAGCAGCTGGGGTCACCGCAGCCTGGCACTGACAGAGCCCCATCCCAGGTTTAGGGGACACCAGATTTAGGGGTCACCCACAGCCTGGCACTGACCGAGCCCCGTCCCAGCCTGGCAGTGCCGTGCCCCGCAGCCCTTCATCTCCAGCACGTTTCACTGCACCATCCCTCCTGCCTCAAGGGAGCGGGACAAGGCCAGCCAGTGGGACACCTGGACACGGCGGGCTCCGGGGATTTGTCCGGGTTTGTCCCCGAGCGGGGCTGCGGGCCCAGCGCCATCCCGTGCCAGGCCAGCAGCGCCCGGCCCTGCCCGGTGCCACCGCGCAGACAGCCCTGCAAGAGCGGGCGGACCGAACCCCCGAACCCACAGGAACCACCATCGGCTTCCCGGCCAAGGAGGGCTCGGGACCGCGGGGACAGGGCCGGTGTCCCCTTCCGCACCGGGACGGGATGCGTGTGCCCGAGCGATGGGCTGGGGGTGCTGGGCGGGCCGGGGAGAGCCGTGCGGGGGTGCCCGGGGGGTGCTGTGGTGCGGTGCGGTCCCGGGGATGCGGTCCCGGGGGATGCGGTCCCGGGGGTGC